GTGTAGTTGTAAGGCTGTTTAATGATGCCCTGAATTAATACCTCGCTTATCTCTTTGAGTGACTGAGCTGATCTCCTGTCCCAAGGAGGCAAGCAGGAAGATTTTGAATTTTCCTGAACTCAGCTGGTCAAATGAGTTGGGGGAGGAAAGAGGGATGGGGGGGGGGGGAACAGAAAGCTTCAGGAAGGGAAGATAGAAGTGATCGGTGCAACAACACTTGTTTATAGAAGTGGAGGCAGAATAAAAAAAAATATGTCTGCTAGGTCAGCTGTAAATGGACCACATCAAAATATTTGACCCGCTATCTTTTTTTTTTTTTTTAATCCTTGAACTGAACAGAGACCAGACAGTCTTTTTAACAGGGGTCTGTCCTTGGGCAGTTGAACAAATAGGAGATCTGTCATCGACTTACTACAGCTCATTTAGTAACCATTCAAAGTTACAACGGCCCTGGGAAAAAAAGTGACTTATGACCGTTTTTCACACTTAAAACCATTGCAGCGTCCCCATGGTTATGTGATCAAAATTCACATGTTTTGCAACTGACTCATATTTACGACGGTTGCAATGTCCTGGGGTCACCTTTTGCCACCTTCCGACAAGCAAAGTCAATGGGGAAACCAGAATCACTTAACAACCGTGTTACTAAGTTGATAACTGCAGTGATTCACTTAACAACTGTGGCTAGAAAGGTCACTTAACAAATATCTCAATTAGTAACAAACATTTGGGGCTCAATTGTGGTCGTAAGTCGAGGGCTACCAATATTATCTGGCACAGATGTTTGGTTTTTTTTTGTTCCTTCTGCCCAGCAAACAATTGCTAAGAGATTGGTAGATATGAGAATAAAGTAACATCAACTTGACTGAGGTTGATTATCACGTCCCTCAACCTTTCCCGACAGTTTTCTTGGCCAACTATGGAAACAGAGTTTGAGATTACCAGCTGCAAATTTGTCCTCCCTTTTTTTTGCCCTACATATTCTCAAATTCTCTAGGTTGCATCTACCTGTAAAGTCAAGCAGAATGCATTTGATTTCTTACAAAGGAGTTATAAATGGAACTCTCCATTTTATAAAATTATTTGACTCGGTTAAAAATTGTGTCTAAGCCAATGAAATAATTAATACCTAGCCACAAATTAGCTCATTTCCTCTCAGCTGTTTGATTGGCTTCTTAGGTTAATTTTTTAAGAAAAGAGAAGTGTGCATTTAAAAGAAAGAGCAATAAAAACCAAATACAGTATTTCAATTAAGGAATTCAACCATGCTTTTAACTGCAAATAATACATTTTGCTCCTTTGGTTTTATGCAAACAGACTGCATTACTTATTCTTCAATTAGGGAGATTAAAGGTACCAATACGGCACCATCATGCAAAAATAAACAAGAAAGAATTATCCAATACAGACATAAGTGCACACACAAACGCACACACACACATACACACACACACAAATGCCATGTTCACAAATAAAGTGAGATAGTAACCAAGCATACAAATGAACATCTCTCCAATTGCAAAAGTACCTTGTAACAGACTTGGGCTGCAAACAGAAACCCTCTTTCAGAGTCTTTCAAAGTTTTACAAATCCTCAGTTATCAGAAAATAATTTGGCACATTTGTGAGCATGGTTAAAAAAAAGAGTGAGCAAGCAAAAGACATAGCAACATTTACTTATTGCAAACGCGTCTTTTCTTTTTAGTATTTCCCCCCCCCCCTCTAGATCACAGGCTCAGCAAACAGAAATCTGTATTTCATTCTGCAAATGCAAACTTTTTATTTTTATTTTTTTACGTTTGCATCTCCTCTATTTACGTGCACCAAGCTCAGAACCCTTCAGAACAGCCGTAGCTTGAAATACTGCAAATGCAAAAGTAGAAAATGGAAAGAGCGGAACCTTGCTGATGCTACCCCCCACACACACCAGTTTAAAAACAGGTTTGTTGACACCTTGTGCAGTGCACACCAAATCTTCATAACAAATGTCACAACCAAATAATGTCAATGAACAATTGTCCAAGTGCATGCATGCATACATGACCTATGCAATGATATGGCTACATATGCAATGAAACGGGAAATACAAAGGGCGGCAGCAGAAAAAGACGGAAAGCCGAACAAAGCATGACTAATCCAGGCCCTCCTTTACCAGGATTCATCCAAAGAGAAAGATTGTCAGCCCTCTGTCTTTCACAACCGGTCATAAAGATGGGAAATAATCAGTATTAAAGTAGAGTTTAAATTCATCATGATTAGCTCTAATAATGTCAACCTCCCTCAGAGGTGGGGAACGATGGCCCTTTTATGACTTGTGGACTTCAACTCCCAGAATTCCTAGGAACGGCTGGCTCAGGAATTCTGGGAGTTGAAGTCCACAAGTCATAAAAGGGCCATCGTTCCCCACCCCCACTCTATCTGAATCTTTTCAGATGTATTAGATTTCAGGTCCCATCATCTTCCCTGTTCTGAATGATGGAAGCTGAGGTTATCAGGGTTAAGAAGTTTTAAGATAGTAGCATAATAAATGCTGGAGGTCCCAAAGGTGTTTTTTCAGGAGGCAACTGGACTTTCTTGTTTTTCCTTTGAAGACGTTTCGCTTCTCACCCAAGAAGCTTCTTCAGCTCTGACCGGATGTTGGGGAATGGAAGGATTTATATTCCTTGGAGATATATGGTCATTTGCATCCTTTTAGAGAGTCCTTGAAGCCATTTGGAGCACCTTCGGGACAATCATGACCTGGATGACTGAGAATCTCCATAGACAATGCCGGAGGAATTTATAAAAGAGATTGAAAGAAATGGCTGACTAAAAGGAGGGAATTGGATCAAGTGACAAAACACTGCCACGTTATAATGCAATTTTGTCAGTCTGGTGTCAGTGACTGGTTGCAGAGGCTTATGGGTGAATTTGTGAAGGAAAGTTTACAAAATTTCTTGGTCAATTTCTTAACAATCATAAATAATCAAGAATTATAGAATAATAGAATTACAGATAATCAGAAAGGGCTATTTGGGCTATCATGTTAATATCCTTGCGTAGATGTCTATGGAGATTCTCGGTCATCCAGATCATAGTTGTCTCAAAGATGCTTTTTTCCCCCCAGAAAAGGCAATTGGACTGTTTTTTACTCTTCCTCAAATAAAAACCAGCCCAGTTGCCTTTTGGAAAAAAAAAACCGCCACCTTTTAAAATAGATATTTAAATATTTAATCTGTTGACATTACCTAAGTATTGCTTATACCAAAGCACTATCCTGCCAATATTCATACATAATTGCTTTATATGCTTGACATGCTTAACATGGGCTCCAAAGTATTTGGAGACCAAAATTCAAAATATATACACTATATTTGTTTTAGGACTATTTTCGGCATACATATTTCAGGGGCTAGGTTTCTCTTAAATCAATGGAGTAGTGGCAACTTGTTTTATAGATTTTCACTGAACACAGTGGCTTCCTGCTGTGAGAAAAGTTAACCACGAGCAACAGACACAGAAAGACTGATCACGAATCAGTGTTGCTATTTAGTATTTGTGTTCAGACAATGAAGTATTAATCTGCTTTATCTCTGGATAAAGGAAGACTCAAAAATATTCTGGCTCTATATCCATATCCACATCAGGAGTACAATATCACTGGAATGACTCTCCACTCATGTTCCTTGAAATACATCAGACAGTGGCCAAGGAACACGATGATGGCTCGCCAGTTCTTGGAAGTCTTTCCCTCAAAAAGCATCTACCAAGTATCTATCCCAAGGGTCTTCAAACTTGGCCCTTTTATGACTTGTGGACTTCAACTCCCAGAATTCCTCAGTCAGCGTGCCTGGCTGAGGAATTCTGGGAGTTGAAGTCCACAAGTCATAAAAGGGCCAAGTTGAACACCCCTGGTCTATTCTATTATGTTCCTAGAGCCAGACAAAAATGTATTTATTGTTCAACTTTCCATTCTATTTATATAATCACATCAACTTTCCAATATATTTATATAGTAACATTTTATGATATACAGATAGTCCTTGACTTCTAGCCATTCATTTAGTGACCGTTCAAAGTTAGAAAGGCACTGAAAAAAGTGACTTATGACCAGTTTTTATACTTATGTCTGTTGCAGCATCCCCATGGTCACATGATCAGAATTTGCAAGCTAGGGAACTGGCATGTACTGTATTTATGATGGTTGCACTGCCCCAGAATCATGTGATAACCATAACATTCCCAGATGGCTTCTGACAAGCAAAATTAAGGTGTGTGTGGGGGGGGTCAGATTTGCATAATGACCACATGTTCCACTTAACAACTGCATTGATTTGCTAAACAACTGTAGCTAAAAAGATTGTAAAATGGGGTGAAACTCACTTAACAACAAATTTTGAGCTTTGTTTTTGGTCATAAGTCAAGGAGGACCTGTAGTCTAATTTTATGATGTAATGAAGCTTTTTACATCAGCTTTTTTCAGTATTTTCCTGATTAATTTGTTTATCTCTGGGGTATTTTTAATCGTAGTTTTTAGTTTCAGGTTTTATACTGTGACGCTTACAAGCCCACTTGGGGGAAAATGTTTCAAAGGGCAATGGGGAAATTAATAGACAGGGGTGCTGATTGGAAGTTGTGCTAACTGAGGTTTGGTTGTCAACCAGATGACAGGGTTTTTGTTTTTTTTTGTAAACAAGACATGAACCGGGATTAGCTCAGAATGGAACCCACCAAAGACGGGATCAGTCCAAGCCAAAGATAATTCAGCAAGCAAGCGGTCTAACTTTTTAGCAGCAGCAGCAGCAGGAAGAGAAGGAAAATGAGAATTCCACTGCAGGGTACAGGATCAGCACCAATCATTTCACATAAAGCCTGGCATGAAAAAATGAGAACAGAAAGACCACAAATACACAGATGATGGGATGGAGGAAGGGCCTCACAGCATGCTGCAGGATGCTCATGGACAGAGAGGCTCTGCTGATGGGTCTTGTAGTAGTTGTTGTTTTGAAATTGAAATCTTACCCTCATCCCTTCAAATCGTGAGAGTGCTCTTAAAGGTCTCAGAGCTCTGAGGGTCCTAAGGGATTTAATGGGACCCATTTCGGAGTATCCAAGAGAACTAGCTATGAGGCTTATTAGTGAGACCTGAAGGGAGACACAAAACGAAGAAGTCCAAACTATTAGCAAAAGTCCTACCATTCGGCTTCTCTTTTCTGCATTTGCACCTGTAAAGATAAACCTGGTTAATGGATTGAGGAAGCAAGAACCTAAATTGGAGGGAAATTAACCATTAACTCATGGGGGAGGGGGGAAAGCCGCTGCTACAGAAATATTTTTTTTCCAGGACACAGAGCTATTGATTTCCAATGCAAAATGAAACCTAGGAATTAGGAACTGTCAAAAGCAATAGGATGGTATCGATCTGCCTGCAATTCCCATTTTCCCCTCTAGATGACCACATTGAGCTCCAAAGAATGTCAAAATTCATCAAAAGAGAGGGACGAGAAACATCAGAGAGACAATCCGTTTAGTTTTCCTCTATTTTTCTCTGACAGAAAAAGTAGCGGCGTAGTATCATCCTAATTTTGCAAAGACTATAGTTTTGTACTTTTAAGATGAATTGCCTATATATTATAAAGGATCTGTCTGTCTGTCTGTCTGTCTGTCTGTCTGTCTGTCTGTCTATCTATCTATCTATATAATATTTCTTTCTCTTTTTCTCTTTCTCTGTCTATCCATCCATCCTATCTATTTCTCTCTCTGTCTGTCTCTCTCTCCTATTTCTCTATATTTCTTTCTCTCTGTCTCTCTTTCTCCTATTTTTCTTTCTCTGTCCATCCTATAATGTCCATTTCTTTCTCTCTCTCTCCCTCCCTTCTATAATGTATCTATCTATCTATCTATCTATCTATCTATCTATCTATCTATCTATCTATCTATCTATCTATCTATCTATCTATCTATCTATCTATCTATCTATTCTTTATATATATATTTTCTCTCTCTTTCTCTCTCTCCCTCTATCTCTGTCTATCTCTTATCTATCTGTCTGTCTGTCTATTTATCTATCTATCTATTCATCCATCCTATCTATTTCTTTCTCTTTCTCCATCCTGTTTCTTTCTCTTCCTCTCTTTTTCTATCTCTCTCCTCCTTCACTATCTATCTATCTATCTATCTATCTATCTATCTATCTATCTATCTATCTATCTATCTATCTATCTATCTATCTATCTATCTATCTATCTATCTATCTATCTATCTATCTATCTATCTATCAGTCCTCATCCATCTATCATTTATCCTCACACACAGACATGCACACCTATACATTACACCCACACCCACACTCACACATCACACCCACATGCCCTTCACCCCCACAGCGGCTGAAACATTGCTGTTGCCATAGAACGTAGCCTGCCTGGGAGACACTTTCCCTGAAAAATTATACAGTTAGCGCTGATTGGAAAATGAAGCTGCCATGTTTGCTGTTCCCTGCAAGAGAGAGAGAGAGAGAGAGAAAGAGAGAGAGAGAGAGAGAGAGAAGGTGATTGTTATTTTAGAGGAACACACTGCATAGACATGGAAAGGTTTCAACCCTTACCCTTATGCTCTCAAACCGGGACAAGGCTCGGAGGGGCCTCAAAGCCCTGAGTGTTCGCAGTGATTTCATAGCAGCCAGGTGGTCATAACCGAGAATTGTAGCTATCTGGCAAATAACTGAAATCTGTGCAGATTGAATGGAATTTGAAATTATTGTTCAAGATAAGCAACAACAGGATTTTTTTTAAAAAAGAAAAAAAAAGACAGGGTGAAAAATAGTGAGTTAGGGAAAGATTCCAATAACCAGGATAGATTTCAATAATTTCAAAACAGCATGAATGTGGATTGTGAATGAAGGTGGGCTATGTCTGTAATAAATATCAAATTATACTTGGAGGAAAGTCATTTCTCTCCAGCTTGCTTCTAGAAACAAGGGAGGGAGAGGAAGGAAGGAAGGAAGGAAGGAAGGAAGGAAGGAAGGAAGGAAGGAAGGAAGGAAGGAAGGAAGGAAGGAAGGAAAAGTTGTGTGGCAGAATTAAGTTTGGGGGGGAAAGTTCTAGCTTTAAAAAATTGAAAATTGGAGCCATTGATGAAAAAAGAGAGGGAGATAAATACATTCTGATTAAAAGGTGGAGGGGGGAGGAGAATCTGAAGAGCACAGTGATCAGAACAAATGGTGTGATAGGGAAGGTGCCATAACCTTTCTTCAACAACTGTCTGGAAATTACAGCACACGATTCCCAGGGAGACACAATAGGTGGCCACTAACCATTCTTCTGCTTTGCAATCTGAAACGGTGGGCTGTGGAAATGAGGTGGTGTTAGGAAGTTTTAGTCCAAACACCAAACTCTTGGCTGGGCAATTTCACAATTGCTAGCACAGCGAGCAGAATGGCATCCTTTTTTTTTTCCTTCCTTTCTTAGAGATTATTCTAGACCAGTGGTTCTCAACCTGTGGTTGGCAGATCCCTGGGGAGGGCTGCAATGTCATCACAGGGGGTCCACAAAGGCTTGATGCTTTCTAGTACTTTAAATCTTGGATTAAGTCTTGGTGGTCCATGGTGAAGAAAATATTGAGAACCACTGATCTAGCCCACCCCCATTTCTACTAAGCTACCAACAAGTGGGCATCCAACTTCTGTTTGAAAACCCCCAAAGTTCCCTTGATCTAGGCTAGGGAGATCATTCCTCTGCTTAACAGATGTGTACCATCCAGAAGGTCTTCCTATTCTCACCTCTTTAGTCTTTGTCTTCAGTTGCAACAGATGACAAGTTTGCCCTCTCTTTCATAATAAGGCATGACAGTTATGAGAACCCAGCCCTTTATTGTAATAACTCCCACACTTGCTACATTTGGGATGGCCAAATGGAGGGAAACCAGGCATGATTAGAATCTGTTGAATGACAGCAAGCATCATTAGAGAACCGTGGGGGGAAACTAAGGTCTGTTTGATCAAGAAGATTTTGTGAAAGCACCTTGTATTATGCTCTTACACAGACAGCTATACATTATGTCTATTGCAGAATGGCTGAAATAGATTTGAAGAAAATGGATGCTGGAATTCATCTCAGTTATTTTAGGGAGATGTTTGGAAAAGGAAGAAAGGAAGGAAAAGAAGGAAGGAAGGAAAGAAGGAAGGAGAATGAGAAAAAGAAAGGAGGAAGGAAGGAAGGGAGAATGGGAAAGAGAGTGAGTGAGGAAGGAAGGGAAAAAGGAAGGAGAATGAGAAAAAGAAGAGAGAGAGGAAGAAAGGAAGGAAGGAAGGAAGGAAGGAAGAATGGGGAAGAGTGAGTGATTGAGTGAGTGAGGAAGGGAGGGAGAATGGGAAAGAGAGTGAGGAAGGAAGGAAAAAAGGAAGGAGAATGAGAAAAAGAGAGAGGAAGGAAGGAAGGAAGGAAGGAAGGAAGGAAGGAAGGAAGGAAGGAAGGAAGGAAGGAAGGGAG